CCGAACCCCAGTGAGAAGCGGAAACCTCTCTGAACGCCTCCTGCGTTTGCCTGTGCGCTTAAGGTGGACTGACGGAGTTGGGGGCGAAAAGTTTCACTCTAGAGGCCGCCTTTAAGGTGGTATTTTCTGTACCCAGGTTTCACACGCCCTTTCTCTGAGTGCATGACCAAGTATTTAGTGTACAAAAGCTAAACTAATAAAAGCAGAGGTCCCTAAAATCCCTATAGAGAGAGTGTGGGCACATCCAGTATTATTAATTTAACCAACATGCAATTAGTTAGACTGATTAAAAAATCGTTCAGCTCATGTTCAGTTACCTCCTTGTTTTTATAGATAGCAGACAACCCATAATTACTTTAGAGACATGCAAATATTAGTAAAAAGTAATATTTCAACGATTGCATCTGCATTGCATATGAACAACTTAACAATTATATAGTTTAAATCATCAGTTTCTTAGCTTCTAACAGGCATTGAGCAAAACTGATGTTTTAAGCAGGCATACCTACATAGTTTAAAGCTGGATCTGAACACAATGGTGATGTGGTGCATCTCTACAAATAAATGCAAGTCAAGTTAGTGAATGCAGTAGAAAGTAGTTTTAATACCACAAATTGATCCCTAAAGGCTTTATCCAAGTTGCAGAATATCTTGAGAAAAATAAAACCTTTTCAAAACCTCTTTTTAAGTTCATCCACACAACAAAAACACTAGTTTTCCATGTTTTATTCCCCCCCCCCAAAATACTAAATACTACATAACCCATTAGCATTCCCAAGCAACAACTGAACAGGAAAAGATTTTTCCTAAGTTTGAAAAAATCACTTTCGCTAACTTTACAGTTGCTTGTTGGTTAATTTCATACCCGTCTTGGTTTCTGGATCCAGTGACGTTTCTTCTGTCTGTGTCTTGGTCTCTAGGGACAAGGAACATTTTAGAACCACCAATATTAATGATTGTTTTAAATCAGGGCCTCCTTTAGGCCCTAAACAAAGTTTGACTTTGGTTTCTTTATTGCTGCAGTTCTAGCAGTGATGTCTACAGTTTTATCTAGTGTTACTAAAACAAATTACCGTAACTTTAATGTCCATCATATCAATCCCTTCATTTTTTGCAGCTGAAGTTTTTTTGTGTCCATACATCTATAATAGTTTTTTTATACATTTTATGAGAGGTAATGAATGAAGTTTTCACCCAGGCTAAAGGAATTATCAATTTATACCTGCTATGATTAGGTATTAATGTGTTTAAGTGCACAATATTAAGGCACACTTGGTGTTTATAAACCAAGGATTCCCTTACTTTATTATTTTATTTGGCAAATATTTCATAGCCTTACAAGATTACAACTTAATTGTTTAGCAGATGCAAATATTTGGTCAGGTTATACAGTGTAGCAAAAAAAAAGTACTTTCCCCCTAATATATTCGTTTCTTTTCACGCCTAATGTTTCAGATCATTGATGAGCAAACAGAAGGGAGCAAATACAGTTTTCGTAACTAAGTCCACCATAGTTTTCTTTCCTACTTTTTCCTGAAAAGGAACAAAATTATTTCAATAAGATATGACCATATAAGCTTTTGAAGATGGTACAGCCCAGTGGTGCTAGAATCCCTGAACCCTGCCGTCTGTAGCACTGTTGCCTTGCAACACGAGGGTTCAGGGTTCATGCATGTTCTCCCTGTTCATGTGTGGGTTCTCTCCAGGTAATCCGACTTCCTCCTGCAGTCCAAAAGCATGACTGTTAGGCTCATTGGCATTGAATAAACTACCTGAAGTGTGAGAGTTAGTGTGCATTATTGTATGTCTTTGTGTTGCCCTGGGACAGACTGGTGATCTGTCCTGCGTGAACCAGACCTCTTGCTCTTAGACTGGTGGAAATAGGCACCAGCCCCACTGTGACCCTGATGGAATAAGCAGAAGATGGATGAATATTACAAGAGCTGTACAAGTCCATATCATCGACTCTGAATCTTGGTATGAATGAGTTAAACAAAAGCTGTACTATTCTTAAACCATTTTCCCCCCAAAATAGTTTGCAGCCAAAGTAACAGTTTCATCATTGCCATCTGGGGAAATTCAGTAATGATATTCCTAGGTTGTAGACTTATGTATATACTGACTGAAAACAGGAAACCCACTTTCAATTCTTACCCTTTTGAAACCAGACTATACATTAGCAGTCTTTGAACTTGAAAACGTTAAAACAGACTGCTTTATCCTTGCATGAATGTACATCAGAAGCACTACACATTCCCATGGACTGCCACTTTGGGTCCCTGAGCAAGACTCTTAACCCCACACTGCTGCCCTGGGCGCCGCACAATGGCAGCCCACTGCTCCCTAAGGGGATGGGTTATATGCAGTGAGTGAATTTTGTTGCTTTGTACTCATGACAATTGCTTTTTCTTTCCAACTTTAAAATTTATTTTATTATCATTACACTGTCACAAGTAAAGAGCCACAAAATTAACTGTAAATTAACAATTGTAATGACAATAAAGCTGAATTCTTATTCTATTCTTGATTACTCAAAAGCAAAACATTAACAAAATAAAATCAGTCACTCTATAAGGAAAAATAAATATTTTAAGTGTCTGAATTTTTCCTTTACAAACACTAAGAATTGGCTGCATAAACTGAGAAATGTTAAAGGTTTGTGTGAATTACTGAAGTTGTATAATTGTTTCTGAGAGCAGCTTCCCGCCTGACATACATGAGTTAACCAGACCTGTACAGCAACCAGGCAGATGGTAAAATACATGCATCCATATTTCCAGCAGCTTTTCTTGGTTTTACCTCAGGAAGAACATATCGATGTCATTCTACAAGTTTCCTGATTGCTTTCAGGCTGCAGATCGCGGTGGCCTCTAGTCAGTTATTCTATTTCTTCACTTTATTTTTAAAAACTTTAAAATATTGTGATGTACTTAAACTGATACAGAACGGGCTGAACCTGGAACCACCATATTTCACCTTGTGGATCTTAGTATTTATAGAATCATAAGAATAAGTCTGACTCTTATTAGAGCTCTTATTGACTAGACTTAGGCCTCTTCTATCGACATTACTCATTTCTGCAGAGGTTAATGGCTTGGCATCAACTAGGTATCTTCTAATTGTTACAGCACTCAGAGGTAACCATAGACCCACTTTGATCACTTGTTTTTGATCGTCTGTGTGAACGGAAAATCATCCATTTTCTTCAATGTCTTCCTGGTTTCGAAACCCAAACCAGGAAGACATTTGGGTTTTTTAAATACAACATTTGATGATCCGATACATAAAGACCAAGAGCAAAACACGTTTTAAAACAGAAAGATGAATCTCAGTTAACGAACCTCAATTTAAAACTATGAATACTACAGTCAGTTACTGCTTATAATGTACAAAATATTATTCCTAAAAAAACAGAAAAACATTGGGGTTGGTAGAAGTCAGTGATTGGGTCATATTGGCAACTGCCCAGGGTGTTGACAGATAGGGGGCGGAGTTCATGAGCACCAGAAAATAAAAGCCAACATTGGTCAGTTCGGGTGAGCAAACTTTCTGCTGCTTGTATGCTTGTCACTACCCAATCCTTCCCGGAAGCCGTACCATCCGCTCATTTGAGCATGCTCAACCAGATATGCATCCGGGTCACCCGTGATTTTATTTTGTTAAAAAAAAGAAAGAAAAAAAAGACATAAATTAGGTTTTTCCCTCCACAAAAACAGTAATCGTACTAAACTATAATGTGTTATAGGTTGAGACAATCAATTCCTTAAAATAATTTCTTTATCAGTCGTCCGTGCCAGATCTGAACCGGAAATGGGATCCTACGCCACATCTGGGAGCTAACTTATTACGGCTTTGGATTTGAACATAAGTCTAGTCTTTTTGAGTTGTATGTTTTCCTTTCGTGTTAACATTATGGTATATAGCGCGTAACCTAAAAAAAACAAACTAAAATGCAGATAAACATGGTTAAATCATATTTTGCAGGAGTACTCTGAGCATGTCCGATGAGAAAATGTAAAAATCCTCAAAATTGTCTCCGAAAAAAATCATAAAACATTTTTTTAAGATGTGCAGTGGTGTCAAAAGTACACACATTTCTTACTTAAGAAGTATAGATACTGCCTTTTAAAAACACTCTGGTAAAAGTACCAACTCGACCTCTTTACTTAAGTAAAAGTAAAAAAGTAAGAGCTCCAAAAATTACTTAAAGCATAAAAACATAAAGCAAACTAAAAAAAAAAAAAAAAAAAAAGGCCAGATGCCACTATATGAATTAAAGGCTCAATTTTTTGACTATTTCCAAAAATTCTTTGAGATAGGGCCATGGATGAGAGATGCCTTGTTGGTCTCCGTCTCCCGGTATGCTCTGGCCTGTGTCCGACCTTTTAACATCTTTTTCTGAATCCCACATTGTAGCATGGCATAGACATTCCCGTTTGCAGTTTGAAGAACACCTGCTTGCTTCTGATGATTTCCTTTAGCTAACCAATAAGCGTTTGCGTTATATGACTCATCCAATTACACTAGTTTTCACTAGATGTGGATGGCGCCAATTATCTGCATTGGATGGCGCGCTTGACGTGAAATAAATAACTATAAAAAAAACCCAAAGCCAAGAGTAACGAGTAACGTTTGTTTTAAATTTGTAAGTACCGTAATAGAAAGTACAGATACTTGTGTGAAAATGAAAAATAAGTGATGGTGTAAAATATAGATACCTAAAAAGTGCACTTAAGTACAGTAACAAAGTATTTATACATTGTTACTTGACACCTCAGAAGATGTGTATTAGCATTCTTTAGTGAGTTATAAGGATAGAAATAAGTAATTTTACTACCAGACTTACATTATTCATGCTAACCTGTATGTATATATGGTTGTGTATGCGTAAATGAGCTGATGGTACGGATCACGCGTCCGGGACGGATTAGGTAGTGACAATGCTGAAACAGAACAGTAGCCTTCCTCTGACACATTGCATTAAGTGAAAGATCAACACATTTTAGTCTTAACAAGTAAAACTTTATTGGAATGATACATTTTGCAAAATATTACTTTGTTTATATATATTTTTTTTAAACATACTCATTGTGTTCTAAGGGTATCTGTCAAGTTCTCCAGAGGGTAAGATAGTTAAGACTGTCAAAGGCAAAGATGTACAGTATTGTTTCCCAAAAAAGGTACAATAGACTACACAAGCACTGTACCCAGGTCATGAGGAAAAAAGGTTGACGTTTAGTTTTTTCTTTTTTTCCTTGTTTTTCTGAAAATACAATTAGAAAATATGAACGCAAAACAGCTCAGATGTAAAAAGTGTTATGCTTGAATAAAGTGTGTGGAAATAGAAGGCAAACAGGAGACAAAATTAATGTAGCACAGAGCAGTCAATAGTGTCAAGCTGGCAAAAAAGAATGAAAGCAGCTGACAAAAGTTTGTGTGAGGAAAAGTGTAACAAACAGAAGTTTAATGTCTTTAGTGTCAGGAGTTGATCGCGTTGATTTGCCTTCTACATCTCAAACTCTGATTTTGCTGTTTGTTAGGAAAAAGAGGAAAACTCATTACATGTGCTTTCTTTAAAATACAAAGGTGTACAGAATAAGCACAAATTATTGAAACAGATTAGAAAACGTGTGCTTCATTATCCAGATAATTCATGTTGATGATACGCGGCATAATTTAGTGTAATGTCGGAAAAAGAAACTGAATTTAAAACACAATGTCAGCTCCAGAAACAATGATTTTTTTGTTTTTCTTCCTGTGATGTCTCAGTTCCAGGAAAGGTCTCGCCATCGTCCTGCTTTACAACATGCAAAAAGAAAACCAAGCTCACCAAAGAAACACGTTATAAAAAAAAAAAAAAATACACATCAGGTTTCCAGAGCAGTAAAACATCTCCTTACCAAGACATTCAAAAGGTATCCTGTGTTTGATCTCGATTACATTAAGACACTGCCAATCAATTACTCCTGTCTACTGAAATCACGTAGTTAGAAACATTCTAAAAATGTCATGTTGCAAGACTCTGACAAATAGGTTGATGCACATCAAACAAGTCACACAAGCTCCTGCAGAGAGATGGACATAGTCTAGCACCTCAGGCCTATGAAGGGAAGGTTGGTGGAAGCTTACATCCTTCAAACAAAACAATGAGTTCAGTCAACAAACCAGCACTAAGATTTGGTCTGCGATTGTCTTGCATCCACAGAAATAAACTTGGCAAAAGTAGACAGCTCCAGAATAGCTTCCTTAGCAAAGGAAGCTGGAAACCAGATAAACAAACCTCAAAAGCCCCCTCCCCCAAATTTGGCTGAGTATTAAAACCATGCGACAGGGTTTTAAACAAGAAAGGGGGCAGAAAACAAAAAAAGTCAATAAGAATATCAACATCGGAAACAATATCCAAACATCCGCCCTAAAAGTGAAAACTGAGCAAGACCCAGTCCGGCTTCACTGGGTAATCCCCCATGTTGAATCCATCGTTAAGCCTCGATTTCAGCATCAAACAATCTCAGGTACCTTATTTCAATAAATCCTCAGTCTTCTCTCATCAGAAGTGAAATTGTACAAAAATACCATGCGCGCCCTGTTAGAAAGTTTTGCTACTGTTTTTGCGTATTTATATCCACCAGAGTAACATGTAGACAACTGCGATCAGTTGACAGAAATTAAATGTTGCTTTTACAGCTATGAGACAATGCTGAAAAGATGGATTTTTCCTATGTTTGGTTGTGAAATATGAAAATTAATTAAATGATTTATCATCAGGAGTGTGACCACAATGTTAGCAGCTGCTAAACAACAGCTTATTAACCAACCCTCGAGCACTAAATGACACAAGCACAGAGATCGACATAAAAAGGACAAAATGATCACCAACAGTAGTTGCAAAATGCTCTAGTAAATTCCTCTAAGAGAAAGACAGACTTAAATGCAGACCTCACGCCGACTTCTCTCGGGTCCCTTAAAGATTAAGACCCAGATGAAGTTAAGTGTGATAAATAAATTTCACTCTGATCAAAGAGGTCCTAACTGCTTCAACCGCAAGCAGCGGACGGCATCATCTACCTATGAATCATGCCACATTGAGCAGACAGAAGGCAGGTGCAGAAAGGTTTCAAGCTTTCAATCAAATGGCCACGAGGGTTCAACGTCACCACAGCCAGAACTCTGCACCAACTACACAGTTTGTTTCTTTTTTCCAACCAGTTGGCATTATAGTAGGCACATCTGTTGGACTTGGTATTGCTTGGACAGATTCAGGTTGGAGAGATGAGGGAAACAGGCCAACATTATACAACGATCCCTCTACCGCTGTTAGAGACACCTTGTAGAGTGGGCTTATTCAAAATGGAGCCCAACAGACTCTGTACCTTCAGAGAAATCAGTGCCCTCTCCTTTAAAGACCGCAAATGTGTCATTATACCACCAGAAAGATACAGTTGTAGCGACAGGACTATGCTTGTTCTTGTCCAGACTCTGACACAAAAACAGGAGAGAGAAATAAATGAACAGCAAACTGTTGAGAAACAATCAGAAAAGGCAACACTGCTGGTTCTGTAGATCTTTCTTCACTTTGCCTATCTTACCAATTTGGGGGAGGAGGGGTGGGGGGTAGAGGGCGATTTTACATGGTTTTCCTCATTATAAATGAACAAGTTGTCAGTCCAACCTAGCCTTTCCTTTCCTGTATTCAGATCCTTACTTTCTAAATCTCTGTCCCTCGCTCTGCTACCCCTGGTTGGAATCTAAAACTCTGCAAATTCCTTTGCGCATTTCTCTGTGATGGAAACTCTGATCTCCTCTTCTTCATAGTCGTCGAAGTTGCTTGTGTCGCCGGGGCCTTTGCACTTGGGGATAAAAGGAGCTTCCACCTGGAACACAAAAGATGGCAAAGATTACTACAGTGATAGTGTTATACCAGACAGTGCTCCAACAGCTGGATCAAAGGGAGAAATTAATGCCATGTTTTATTAACAAAGTTCAGTGGGTTTTATTGTGTTTTGGACCAAAATAAACAGACAAAGGAAAGTGCATAAATGGGCATCTGTTTTTTGAATATGTTTTTTTTATTTATTATTATTATAAGAGATTAAAACCAGGAGTGTGTAAATATATTAAGGTACAACCCATTGGTTAATTCACAAATTTGCTGTACCCTATACAAAACTCTTAAAAACTAAAAAAACAAGAACAAATTGGACTTCTTATCACTTTTGTCTAGGATCTACTTTCTTCCTTACGTAAAACAACAGCTTTGTGGAGCTTCTTGCCAAAAGATAATCCATCCTGAGCTCTGGATCTCTGCAGCTCTTCCTGGTTACCACCGCCATGTTGGCAGCTTTCATTATTTATACCTGATAGAGTATTCAAAACTCACGAACTCGTCAAAATCACAAAAGTCATTAAACATATTTTATGTGATAAATTAGGAGGTGGTTATTAGGAGATAAAGGAGATGTAATATTTATTCGTACAACCACTTTTATTGTAGGTACAGGAGCAGCACTTTCTGTATGTGTGGATTGACATGTGGGCTCTAACTAGCCCATAACACCACAGACACATTTCCACTGATCGGAGTTTAATTTAATCACAGTTGAGGAAAACGAGAAAACAGCTGGCCTCACCTTTCTCTGGTAGATGGCAATCCAGTCTGTGGTGGCAAACCACTTGTGACCCTTGATATCGTTGACCCCATTCCTGAGGTTGCCGAAGCGCTTGGTCAGATCCACCTGCAGCAAATTTCTCAACATATCCTTCAGGTCTGAGCTGAAGTGGGATGGGAAACGAACCTACAAACGGTAAAAGCAACAATCCTGAGGACAGCATTCTCAGACCTCAGGAATTTATACCCCCAGATGATTCTGAGGGGACTGAACTAGTCAACAAGTGCCAAACATTTTGTATTGAACGAATGTTATAGCTTAGGAGATAAATAGGGGGAAAAACAATGTATACTTTCAAACTTTTACAATAATGTCAGTTCAGTGAATCTGGGAAAATAATCTGTTGAGACATCAGTTCCTCCACTGCTGAGGTCCAAAAGTCAGGATCAGTCTATAAAACTACACAAAATTACTAAAACTCTTAAATTCTAAACGATAATCAAATCCATGTTCACTGCAGGGTAGATTTAAACCAATACAGGTTTTTTTTAAAGCCGACAGTAATTATTTTGACATCAGTCCAACCAATTAAAAATCCGTTGGGTCCAAATAAAGAAACCAGGAAAGGTCTGGAGACATTTTTAATTAAAATCTGTTACTTTAAACAGCATTAAACACTGAAATAAAATGAGTTGTTTATGCATCCATTTTATAAATTGAATTTTTAAATAAAGATATATATATATATATATATAAAAAGAATATTTTTCTAAACAAAAAAAAAAAAACTTTTAGTAACAAATAAAACAAAACATTAACAGTTGATGGCTAAAGGAGGGAGCACAAATGCATGTCCTTAGCGTGATTTTAAGGCATGGCTGCTGAATGCATTAATGAATCGCTGAACACCGATGCAAGGGAAAAAAAATGCTAAAACAAAAAATATCGCCTGGCTGATATATCAGTTTACCTCTAGTTAAGAGGAAGTGGAACACAATAAAAGAAAACTACAGGAATCAACTTAACCATATGAATGAAAAAGTACGACTATTTCAGGAGAAAAAAATTCAGTCAAAGAATTTCTCTGAATTATCAGCCGATAAATGCTGATGGATAAAAGGTAAGTGGAGGTCAGCCACTGACTGAACTTTAAGGGGCTGAAGAGATTTAACAAAGTTATCCACCTATAAACATCAGTTATTTAGCTTTATACCAAAAAGAAGACCAAATTGCATAGACACCGGGGTCCAATTTATTCCTCCCAACGCTACAGCAAAAATATGTTTCACTAAGAATAATGCAAAGACTGTAACTGAAATATATTTGAACCCAAACCAGTGGGAATTTGATATCAATCTGATAGAAATTTTCACTCAAAAACGGAAAAGAGAGATCAGTGTGTTTCCCCTAAACTCACCTTCCCCGATACAATCTTTTCATAAATCTGAATAGGCTGGTCTGCAAAGAAGGGAGGATAACCTGCAGCCATTTCGTATATCAGAACCCCCAGAGCCCACCAGTCCACTGCCTTATTGTAACCCTGAAAATAGGAGAAAGAAAAAAAAGAAAAAAAAAGAGCATAACTCACACACTCACAATACAAAATGACACAGAACTCCAATACAGCTACAGCTTCTTCTTGACTATGAGCTGCTTGACATGAAGTGAACGCTCACTTTACTGAGGATGATCTCTGGTGCCAGATACTCTGGAGTCCCACAAAGCGTCCAGGTTCGGCCTTTCACTCTTTTTGCAAATCCAAAATCTGTTACCTATAGAGAGCACAGGGCGGGAAGGGTCAGTGCATTAGCCACAGGCTTTATAAGGTGAGACAAAAATCAGTATTGATCTAAAAAAAACAACAAAAACAAAGCAACTTTGAAACTCTCACCTGTATGTAACCCTGCTGATCGATCAGGAGGTTCTCTGGCTTCAGATCTCGGTAAATGAGATCCAAGGAGTGAAGGTATTCAAAGGTCAGTACAATCTGAGCTGCGTAGAAGCGGGCATGTGGTTCACTGCAAAACATTATAACCTCAATATTTACAGTAAAACAATGTGTCAGTAAAGTACTGGGACTCACCAGATTAAAAACTCAGCTTACCTAAATCTACCGATCCTCCTTAAATGTGAGAACATTTCCCCTCCTGGGACATACTCCATCACCATATACAGATTACTGTTATCCTGCAGCCAGACAGCAAAAAGGTTACAATGGCGCAGAACGCTAAGCATAACACACTCCAACAGATGAACATTTGGAGGCAGACCTTAAACGAATGTTCCAGTCGCACCAGAAAAGGAAAATTGACAGCTTGCAGGATACGTTTCTCGTTCAGTGTGTGTTCTATCTGCTTCAGTTTCACTACCTAGGAAAACAATAATGGAAGAAGCCTTAATTACACCTCCTACTTTGCTTTTAAATGCACGACATGCAATTTCAGAACAAACTTACAACAAAGAGATATCTACTCAAACATCTGCACCAAAATTAAGCAACAAACCAAGTTTATGATACAAGTCCTATGAGAGGCCCGACCTTATCAGGAAACACAGTCTGAACGGGGGACCATCAAACCAAGCCCTCACAATCATTTATCATTATTTAGTAAAAAAAAGTTGTGCATCAAGTTTAATCTACCTTTTGTTTGTCAAGTATCTTCATGGCAAAATGCTGGCCTGTCTCTTTGTGTTTAACCAACATGACGCGGCCGAATGAGCCAGTGCCTAAGGTCTTCAAACGCTCGAAGTGATCCAATGCTGCCGTTTGCTGAAAGGCCAGAAAAGGATATAATCAGGAAAACAAAACTCTAAACAAAACCTGATGAAAGAAAAGCACATTTATTAAAATTAACAATTATTAAAATAAAATTTAATAAACCTCGTCCGTTTGACTTTATTTAGCAAATGTAAATTGTGGATGATATTTAGGAAGTGCAGCTGAGGTTTAAAAATGTATGTGCTATTACACGATTTGTCCAGCAGAGGGGGCTTATGTGAAATAAAAATCTAATTAAGCTATTGTATAACTTAAAAAAAACAAAAAAAAAAAACACACGTCAGACTATTTTCTGTGTAAAACTATCTAGCACTGCTTAGAGACAAACAGGACAGGGGGAATGTGTTCATCTATTCACTAACCTGTGCTGGATTTTCCCATTTTTTCAGGAAATCTTCTTTGGCTTTGGCAAGAAACTCCTTCACTGCAAACAGAGGAATAGTGGGTTAAATTAATAGGTTTAAAACCAGAAAAAAAGAGGTGAAAAAAAAAACACAAACAAAGAATCCAAACAAAATCCTGGAGGACATTATTTTGTGTCCTAGCCATAAAGTTTAAAAGGTAACAGAAAATGAGTTGAAAATGTAATACCAGCAATGAAAAATAATGCTCAGAAACCAGTTGGCATGTGTGTGCTTTTCCCTACCAGCCTCAAATCAAAAGAAACACAAAGACAAGTTACAGAAGACGGGCTGGATGTCATGGAGTGAGAAAAACAAAATACAGGAATTGTCCCCCCCTACTTTCACCACATGCTGCTTATTTACGGCTCCTCATGACCAGAGAAGTTTTGCTTAATGAAAAAGCAGCCATTTGTAGCATAAAGGAGCCATTTTTGAGTAGAAAAAACAGAAATAAAATTATTTTCCAAAACAGACTTTAGCTGGAAAACTGAAATCACATCATGCTAAAGTTCATGAGAGCTTTTAAAGCAATACTACTCATGCTCTTCTTTGTAGGACAGAGGAAAGTAAACATGGAAGAGACTATTATCATCAGATATGAATGGCTGTGGACAGATTAATTATGACTTTGCACACACATTGTCATATAGAGAAGTCCTTTTTGCCCCCTTATCTTTATTGGGCTTCTGAGAGCGCACTGTGAGAACATCAAGATAACTAGCCCTTCCTCATTCCTCCCTGCCATGTGTGAACTGGCCATATAAACCCAGGGAATACAGTTTTTTCTGCCACCAGCCTTGGTCACACAACAACTAAAATTAAAAACATATCAGCGGTTTGAAAAAAGGAGTTTATTTAGCCACTAAATCAATCCTTAAAATCAGATCAGGACAAATGCAATTATCTTAACGGCACACGTTTTTGTGCCTAATGCAACACATTTAAAATGACAATGGAAAAAAAATACAGTAACATTAAAATATAAACAGGAAAACAGTGGCTACGTTTACATGGACACAACTAATCGGATTGAAGGCCTAATCAGATCAAAAATGTTTCATGTAAACATGTCAGACTGAAGATTCTAATCCGATTCGGTCCGATCGGATCTAAATTTAATTCCGAATGAGAGAGGTGGTTTTTGCCGATCGCCATTCCGATTGGCGTCCATGTAAACACCCATTCGGATCTAAAGAGTAAAATAATCTTCACTGCGCATGTGTGCGACGTCAGAGTGACGTTTTCCGCCTTGTCAACAACAGGAAATCACCGGTCTCTCTCGCTGTGAACAACATGGCGGGGGGAGTCTAGGAACGCCGACTTATAAGTTAATTTAAAGCTGCAGGAAGCAGGAATTTATCCTCCTCCTCTTCTTCCTCTCCACAGCCCACTCGCTCTCCCACGCCGGTTCAATCGCTCATTCTCTACATTTTCTCTCGGACATTTCGCTGCCAAGCGCTTTTTTCCTCCTCTCTCCTTTTTTCTTTCCGCTCGCTCCGAGCGCTTCGTTTGTCAGGCCTCCCAAAAACCAGACGCAGACAGAACTGCCAAGTTTGGCAGGAAGTTCTGCGCATGCTTAAAAGATTTAATCTGATCCAACGCTTGATACATGTATACACACGTCATGATCGGATCATTCCATTTAGTGTCCATGTAAACGGAGATTTTGAATTTCCGATCAACCAAGGTTTGGATCGGATCGGGGAAATTTTGCGCATGTAAACGTAGCTAATGAGAGAATGATAACGCTGGTTAAGCCTTTCAGGATTATGTAAATTTTTATCTAGCTAATCAATGCCCAACAAACTAGCTGGGGCACTTTAGATAAAGAAAGCCAGTGGTCAACAGAGTGTAAGTGCATTGTAATTCATGTATCAGTTCAGGGCTTTAAATGTTGACACAAATTATCCTCCCTTTGAACTGGATTACCTAAATAATAATAAAATCCTTCTGAATGAATCTATCCATCTACATAAATTCATTGGGGAAGTCCATTTAAACCAACAATCCTAACTAAGGTGGTCTGATTTCCTGCCGACTCTCCAAAGACTATCAGCTCCGACAATGGGATGGGAGAAAGCCAGCAAAAATGGCAGAGACTAAAGTTCATGTAAACATGCCAGGAGTACTGCGGCTCCCACAGAGAGCAATGAAAGCAGACTGGTCGCCAGGGAGAAAACATTTCCCGGGAAAGTTGCTCAACTTCCACTTCCAAGCATAAAGAGCCAAAAATGGAGCAACTGATGGGGAATAGTGGAGCCCAGCTGAGGAAAAATGAGGATGTAGTGAATGTAGGATCAGCAGCTGTCCTAAAGTCTGATGGTCTTTATCTAATTAGCCTTGTCTGATAAGCAGTAGGAAGTTGACAGTCATGACTACTCTGTAGCTGCAAATGGATGCAAAAAAAAAAAATAAAAAAAGAAAAGCTTCACACGGTACCCTGAAATTCCTTACCATCTGGCAGGACTATGGGTACCTCTGGTGCAGCAGCCTCTGCTGAGCGCGACCCAGATTCGCTTGAGCGCGAGGATGACTCCCTCTTGCTTGCATGCCTTCTGGAGCTCTTCCTGTCACACATTAGCCTCGCAAAGTCTTCCCTGTGCTTCTTCCTCACAGCCACTGACTCATGACCTGTCCTCCTCTCGGAGAGCTATCTGGCCAGAACAGCAACCAAAAACCTTGAAGAAAGCCAGTCGGGCGTCCTCGCCAGCGGACAGTATTGAGGTTCTCCAAAGGCCGAGGCTTTGTTTGGAGACCAGGTTTAAAGAGTAGCATCCACTTCCACTGAGCAGCGGTGCTCGCCTTAACACTCATTCAGATCAATTGGACCCTTGCTTGGTTTGTATCAATATTTATTCTGTACACAAAGTGCTCTCTGCTGTTCCCTCTCATGTTAAACACACATAAACACACATGCACACACACAGGGGCTATATATTGATCTAAACAGGGGCATAATCACCCAGGGGGAGGGGCAAAAAACACTAGCTGGTATATTAAACCAGCCCAGAGTTAAAGTCCTATAGAAACTAGGCCTCTGTAAAGCCCCCTGAGATGAAGCAGACACTAATAGATGCAGGTCAAACTGCCCCTAATTAGCAGAACCAATCAGATTTCCCTTTTTTTGATGGAAAACTTTTTGAGATGATCGTTGTTTTTCGATGAACATAACGAGTGTTTCTCTCGAGTGAAAAGGCAAAACAAGAACGGCCTGCTTTTTTTTTCTCTAAGCCCAAATGTACCACTAAGCCCCGCATAGTGCCAGGGCTGAATTGATCCTAGAAAAATCAATCCAACATCTCTCCCCTGGGCCTCTCTGGCCAACTCTGACGCAGAAACTGAAGGGTTATATTAGGCCAGGCCAACCGACATTACACAGTAAAAGCATAAAAAATCAGGTCTTCCTGTTCAGCCAGTCTGGTTCAGATGGATTAAAAAGTCAACGTGTTGCAGAATCAAAGGGTTAAAGCAGAAAACGGAGACATGTTTAGGTTAGAAATGTGCTTGCCAGTCTACAAAGTTGAAAAATCAATTTCTGACATAAGCTGCATCTACCCAGGGGGCACTTCCTGAAAAACCCACCAATGGAAAGTTGTTTTATAATCTAATGTCCTGAAACAGAGGCCAGAGAAATGACTAAGAGTTAAGGACCACAAGATGAATTTCTCTTCTCTTTGAGTTTATCTTGTTTCTGCTTAAAATCAGGTACAGGTGCTGGTCATAAAATTAGAATATCATGAAAAAGTAGATTGATTTCAGTAATTCCATTTAAAAAGTGAAACTTGTATATTATATTCATACATTACATACAAACTCATATATTTCAGATGTTTATTTTGTTTAATTTTGATGATTACAAATGACAACAAATGAAAATCTCAAATTCATCATATCAGAAAATTAGAATATTGTGAAAAGGTTCAAAATTGATGGCCCCTGGTGCCACACTCTAATCAGCTAATTAACTCAAACCACCTGCAAAAGCCTTTAAATGGTCTTTCAGTCTAGTTCTATAGGCTACACAATCATGGGGAAGACTGCTGACTTGACAGTTGTCCAAAAGACGACCATCGACACCTTGCACAAGGAGGGCAAGACACAAAAGGTCATCGCTAAAGAGGCTGGCTGTTCACAGAGCTCAGTGTCCAAGCACATTAATAGAGAGGCGAAGGGAAGGAAAAGATGTGGTCGAAAAAAGTGTACAAGCAAGAGAGATAATCGCACCCTGGAGAGGATTGTGAAACAAAACCCCTTCAAAAATGTGGGGGAGATTCACAAAGAGTGGACTGCAGCTGGAGTGAGTGCTTCAAGAACCACCACACACAGACGTATGAAAGACATGGGTTTCTGCTGTCGCATTCCTTGTGTCAGGCCACTCTTGAACCACAGACAGCGTCAGAAGCGTCTTGCCTGGGCTAAAGAGAAACAGGACTGGACTGCTGGTGAGTGGTCCAAAGTCATGTTCTCTGATGAAAGTAAATTTTGCATTTCCTTTGGAAATCAAGGTCCCAGAGTCTGGAGGAAAAGAAGAGAGGCACTTCATCCACGTTGCTTGAAGTCCAGTGTAAAGTTTCCACAGTCAGTGATGGTTTGGGGTGCCATGTCATCTGCTGGTGTTGGTCCATTGTGTTTTCTGAGGTCCAGGGTCAACGCAGCCACATACCAGGAAGTTTTAGAGCACTTCATGCTTCCTGCAGCTGACCAACTTTTTGGAGATGCAGATTTCATTTTCCAACAGGACTTGGCACCTGCACACAGTGCCAAAGCTACCAGTACCTGGTTGAAGGACCATGGTATCCCTGTTCTTAATTGGCCAGCAAACTCTCCTGACCTTAACCCCATAGAAAATCTATGGGGTATTGTGAAGAAGAAGATGCAATACACCAGACCCAACAATTCAGAAGAGCTAAAAGCCACTATTAGAGCAACCTGGGCTATCATAACACCTGAGCAGTGCCACAGACTGATCGACTCCATGCCACGCCGCATTGCTGCAGTAATACAGGCCAAAGGAGGCCCA